TGAAGTAACACGAGCAGACAGTTCTCCCAAAGTAAAATGTAGATGTTGTTAAGTAACAAACTAGAAAATGGCCTCATCTACGCTGCGCAGTAACATGCCCAAACAGCTTTTTGGTGATGCTCACTGCGCAGTAGCTCGTTACTACTGCGCAGTCGTGTCATGTCACTCTTCGTGCCACGTGATGCTACTGCGCAGCCGGCATCTCATGTAGATGTGGCCAATATCTGTTGACATCTTGGATGGTACAGAAAGCATCTGCTTTGGCTTCTTCACCATCAAATATGCTACAGAATGAAACCTGCTTATTGAAGTAGTGGAGTAGAGCATTGAGTTTGCTGTCGGAGACATTCGAATGTCACCACAGCAGTCGTGGTCACTGAGCCAACCCTTTCACTACTTACTGCTTCAATTTCAGCTTCATTCAAAAAGCAATTTCTGTTGACTTTTACCTCTTTCCTCCAAACTGACAAAAATCAGGCAGTAATTCGACGATAAAAACACCTACAAAGCCATCGCTTAAGCTTTGTTCCAGTTACACCATTCTTTTAAGCCAAATATATTGCCTTCTAGGCACTCCAAAGTGAGCATTTTAAACAAAATATTGAAGGATCTCGGGATATGTGGGTAGATTTAAATTTATGTGGCCGCTACTAGAATGCAGCAAATAAGGGAACAAAGGGAAAAATTATTGGTCAATGATCAATGGTGTGAGGATGAATACAGAGGTCCATATAGAAAGGGAAAAAGTTTCTTAACTTTGATTCTGCACCTGAAAAGGAGGCTGGAGAGGAGTGGTCCAGTGGCTGAAGATGTCATTCAGGAGCTGTGAACAATATGACACAGCAGCCGTGCCGTTCTTTTTTTAGGCAACAGAAGTAAAATGGGGGAAAAAGAAGAAAAATTCATCTTGCACCTCTGATGTATGGAGGTTCAGCACATATGGGGGAAAAAAAAAAAAAGAGTGGTGTCTAAAACAGTTGAAAAGCATGTCCAGAAAGCTATCACAACTCCTCCAGGACCACAATCAATTTCCTTAAAAAAAAATAAATAAAAAATAAATTGTCCAACTTCCAATAATATTCAATGAGACCATAGGCATGATCGTTGGTGACTGTCTGAGATCCGACTGGGGAGAGCATAATTATTTTACATCAATATTATGTCTCCCTAAACCAGGCCCCTTAGGCTTGTTTGGGAGCCAGTTCAGCCCTGGCATAATTTATAGTGACTCTAAACTGCCTATATGTACACCCCAGCTGTTAGCATCTCAAGCCAACCAGAGTACAGCATCATCCCAGCTGAACCTTTATGCTGGCTCCTGAGGATTTCACAGTGCCAGAGAGATTCTTGGATGGTCATTTGAACTGACTTTATGACCCCTTTGTCTTTTTGGGGGCATGGAACGTATTTCTGTTTTTTGAGGGGGGGGTTCTCATTAAATGTGCTGAAGTGCTGGGTATCCAGTTTGTAGCCGTATTGGTCTAGAGGCAAAAGGAATCCAAACTCGTGGCAGAGGTGATCTTTTTTTTATTAAACCAACTAGATATTTGCAAAAAAACTTTATTTGCAAGCTTTCGAGCACAGGCACCCTTCATCAGGTGCAGGAGATTGCAAAGACTGTAAAAGTTCTAGGTAGAAATGAAAAAGAACATTTACAGTCTGCAGTCCCCCATGCCAGATGAAGGGTGCCTGTGCCTGAGAGCTTGCAAATAAAGAACTTTTTGCAAATATCTAGTTGGTCTAATAAAAGATATCACGTCTGCCACGAGTTTGGATTCCTTTTGCCTCTAGACCCATACAGCTACCACCTGCATACTGGGTGCACCTGAGAAATGGTTCGTGATTTAGTTTACATTCTAAGAGCACATTGAGACGTTTACTGCAGAGTAAACCAATTAGCTCCACAGTAAACATCTCACGTCTACATGTGCAGTGCTGTTAGGCAGCAAGAAACTAATAAACTCTGCAGTAGGGTAGTACTTGTAAATACAAGTACTATCGTGCTGCAGAGTTTGGGGTTTTTTGTGCACAGCTGCACAGGTGTAAATGCTGACCCAACTGGCTGGGTCATGAGGGTGCTACAGTGGGGGTGCTGCCTGCCGGCTGGCTCCATACTGGAGCACCCTCGTGCCCCATCCAACCCATCCACAGCTCGTTGAGCCAAGTCAGAGCAGCCCTGGGGCTGGCAAGCCAACCCCCTAGTTCCCCTGCCAGCTGGGGCTGCTCTGTCCTGGATCAATGTGCTGCGGTTCTGGGTGCACGTTCAAATGGTGCACCCAGGAGCAATAAACTATGGCTCAATGTGGGCTGGAGTTGACTGCTGCATACTAATAGCATGTGTAGACACCCTAAGGTTTTCAAAGCAAGATAATGAAGCCCAAGCTGTATACAAAGTATTGATGTTAAACCTGTTTAATTAAATGCATGCAACTTTGTATATGGGCACCCTTGCATCCATTCCAAGTTAACTTGTGTTGGGCTGCTAAACCAACCTAAGCAAAAGCTATGCCTTTTCCTTGCTGGGTTTTTTGCCTCCTGACACGTGCATATTAGTTACACTGAGTGGAGTTGCATACTTTTTTTTTTTTTCTTTTTAGTAGTGAAGATAAGACCTTAGACAAACTCCAAATGTTTAAAAGTCCCTGAAGCATGTTACAAGTTGATGACCCGTTGGCACGGTCTCAGTGGAAATCCGGCCTGATAATTTGCGAGGAATGGGAACTGCTGAAGGACACGAATGGAAAACAGGGTGGAGAAGCTATGACATTTTGCCATGACTTTTCCAACCTCGCCTCGCCGGTTTTGAATCCGAAACTGTTAGGTGATTCCTGGCCAGGAAGAGGAGGCTGAAACCGGGTGAGGGAATGCAGGGTTTCATTTCACAGCATTGCCAGTCCTGATCTTTATCACAAATCCAAAGTTATGTGATTCAAAGAGGAATTTCAGCTTTTGGTTAAAAAAACAAAGCAAGTTTGTAGACTTTGCAGTTGACAAGAACATCTTGAAAGTATATTCCTGAATATATAAAATACCAGGAAGCAAATCGCCCAAAGTTCACCACTTCTGAAAATCTCATCTCATGCTTATTTTTGGCTCCCTGACTCATCGCTTTCAAACCTTTGATACTGGCCGTACACGGCCCTTCTTCAGAGCTCTAGAGCTCCAGACTTCTGCCCCAGGTTCATTTCTGTGCGGAGATTGGGTCACCTTTTGCAGCAAAATGCAGGAAAACTTGAAAGCAAAAGCAGGGAGGGCAGGAATGGGGAAGTCCAGCGTTTCATCAGTTTTTAAATGACTGGATCTTGTCCTGCCAGCTCTGAATCGTGTGTGGGGGGGAAGTCTTTGTTTTTTAAGCCTAACTAAAACTTTGTAATGCACAAACAAGAAAGTTGTATAACTCTATGGATAGGCAAGATCAGAAGCAAAAGATTTGGTTGCAAACGGCTATAGACTGTTGTGTTTTAATTTACTTATGTTGTAAGGTTACCATATATTTCCAGTATCAAAAAAGAGAACACCTGTGGGGGGTATCTGATGGTGGGGGGGGCAGTGATATGCCTATGCCTTGCCTCTGCCCCCCTGAGCTGCCAGTGCCCCTCATTCCCGGTTCGCAGCCCCCTGCCCCCCCAGCCCTGCTGCCCACGCAGCTCCCGTACATATGCACTCGCGTGCGCGCACCCACACACGCTCACATCTTAAATACCCTCCCGGACAGGGGGCCAAAAAAGAGGACATGTCCAGGAAAACCCAGGCATATGGTAACCCTATTTAAGGAACTTTCCGTTTTAGACAAGCGTGTGCCCTTTGGACAGTATGCACCCTTTTATCTTTGAGGGTTAAACATGCCAGCTCAGTGAATTTTATAGTGTATGATTTCTTTCAAGTCATAAACTTTTTTTTTTTTTTTTTTTTTTTCCTTCCTGCTGGGGCTGGGAGATGATGACCGAAGAAAAGCACATTTCTGTTGTATCGGTTTTTTTTCATCTCTCCCCGTCACCTGTATTTAGAGCTTGCCTATACTAATATGATGGATCGTTGGTGAATTCATAATAACAAGTAGGTGAATTGAGGTTGCAGGATGCAAGCTTTGTCAGGTTGCTTCCTTTCTGGGATAACTGCCGTGCTCTCTAACTGTAGAGTATGGCATGTCCAGACTTGTGCTGTGCAAAAATGAGTGGAAACTTCTCAAGATGACATTCGGAGCTGCATGAAGGAAGCTGGCCCGTAGCAAAACATTGGAAAGGAAGCCAGAAAGTAACTGTTTACCAGTATCCTAAATTTGTTTACTTTCTATTTCTTGTCTTGGTTTTTTTTCCTCCTTTCTGGTCTAGATTAAAAGTAAACTGTTTGTTCGACTTAATGCTAAAGTTACCCAGCACAGCGCAAGGAAAAGAAAACCTTTGTTTGCTAATTATAGTTGAAAAAGTTGCTTTGTGAGAAGCTGATAGCGTAAAATGGCTAGGTGGATGATAGGTAGATTTTTATATGATAAATATAACATTGCTTAAACAAGCATTTAAATTAAGTGGAAGAAAGGGGTCCAGGAATGAGAATATCATGCTGCTGGTGTAGATGGCCTTACTAGAGTTAGTGTAATAAAATGCACGTTTTATTGTTGGTGCTATTTCTGGCTCCGCTACTGATTCACGGTGACGTCTCGGGCAAGCTGCTTACCCTCTTTGCTTGTAACATGGAAATAAGTCCTCCATGGGATGTTGTGGTGGTTAATTGTTAGTAAGCAACTCGGAGAATCACGATTAAGAATCGTGCAAAGAGGTGATTAGCCACGTTAGTCTGAAGACGGGCAGAAAGTAAGGCAGGGTGAAACCATGGAAGTTATTAATCGGCCGTCTCCCTTAAATGTTTTGTGCGTGCTGTTGCGGGAGCAGAGCACTGTAACGAAGGCAGCTTGAATACCTTGTGTATTAGCGCACAGCTCTGGTAGCAGGGTTGTAATATAAATGTATGCGGTCGAGGAAATGCTGTAGAACCTTGTATGTCTAAATAGAGTCAAACTTCAGTTACTGAAATGGAAAATAACAGTATAGCTAGCCATTTTTAAGAATAAAGGAAGATATCTCCAAGTATTGTACCTTTTAAAGTATGTTCCTCCTTTTTTCCCCCCCCCCCCCCCTTTTCTCTCCAGACTTTATATTCAGAGCACCCATCAAATTAAGCAAACCAGGGGAACTGCGTGAGGAATATGAAAGCCAGCTGAAGAAGGTATAGTACTCTGCTTAATAATGACTTTGCTTCCAGAGTAACTGGGAGTCTTTACAAATATACCTTCTTACCTACGTGGAGCATTCAGAGGCTTTTTCTGTCTTCTACAACAAAGGTCATTTTTCCTTTCATACCACCCAGCCAGTTCAGGAAACATTGGCAGTAGCTAAAAGCGTAGCAGCCAGATACTGCTATCTTAGGCTGGCTTCCAAGAGATGAAAACGTACCTTCCTCGCCGTTACTTAACCAACTGTAAGATATACAGGGTTTATTAGTACATTTGCTGTTGCAAATTATTATTTTGCAAAGCCTTTTACAGTCCTGATCTGCCCCCACCACGCTTCACTCATTCGCAACTGTCTCAGAAATCGAATCTTTCAAAGCCAGGCTTTCAAGACTTGGTCTAATGCAAAGGATGAAGGAAAATAAATGGGGGGAAAAATAAAGGGTAAGAAAAAGCCTTTTCAGACCTTTGGGAATTAAATAGGCTCTGTGTGGGAGAATTGTTTTGTACATTAAAACGGAGCATGTTTTGAAAATCAATCATTGAAGTGAGTCAAGTTTTTACAGTAGAACGTCTCCTGTGGCGAGCCACTTGTGAAGTCTGCTTGCCTGGTGAGTTAGAAATGCAGTAGGTGTAGCAGTAGCTGCTCTGGGTGAGGGTGGAGAGCAGTGTCCATTCTGCCCCTATTGCTCGCTCGTTTTTCCTGATATAAACCCTGATCTGACTATTGCAGCCGCTCCCAGGGAGCCATGCAAAGCCCCGTACAAGCCCATGTCAACTCTGCTGGGTCAGGGCCTTTTTCTCCATGAAAGTGGGGGGTTTTTTGGTTGAAGGCTTGGTCAGGAGTGGCGTGTGCACCTTTGAAACCAAGGAGAGTATATGTGTGTAGCCATACAGCGAAGACGTGCACTTTTCTCATTCTGAAAGCATTCTTGCAGTCTTGATAGCATCATTCATGGTGACAGCTGAAAAGAGTTCCCTGTGCTGGCCAGGTCATAAAATCATAGAGAAGCAGGGCTGGAAAGGACCTGGATAGGGCACTTAATCCAATCCCCCATTCCCTTAGGCACGGTTATTCCTATCCAAACCCAACGCATTGTCTAACCTCTTGGCAAAGCTACACAGTCAATCCTTACACAACGCAAGATGTAACACCCTAACCTGCCATAGATAAAGCAGTGGGACCACAGCAGCCAATGTCCTGCTTCTGTAAAGATTGTTAACGTGCGTTCAGGAGATCCCAGGTAGAGGGCCGTGCCCCCTGCTGGGGAGGAAGGCAAAAATCCCCACTGTCTGTACCAATCTTGCCATGGGGTAAAATTCCTGACCCCACATTTGGTGATCAGCCTGACCCTGTGCAGAAGTGCAAAACCATCCAGCCAGGAACACCTGGGTTTAAGTCCCAGCAGGAGCATTGGCACAGCCCAGCCAAAACCCCCAGCCAGGGCTGTAGCCAATCCCTAGTGCCTCTGAGGAAGGCTTAAAAAGCACTTTAAAAAGCAGGGAGGGGAGGGAGAAGAATTTCCTCCCAGCCCCATGCAACCCTCAGCAAAGCCCAGAAACATGGAAAATACCCATAGCAAAACATAGGCATAGCTGTGCCTATCCCTGACCCTCAGCTGTCCTTCTTCTTGAACACCTCCAATAATGGAGAGTCCACAGCTTGTCCCTGCAGTTTATAGAGTAACTTCAGTTGATTAAAGCACTTTTGGAAGGGAATGCAACATCTCTGTCCTGCGGGATATTGCAGTCAGACTGCTTTCCGTTTTCTTTTCTCCTACGTAGCCAAGCCTGCTGTGTAGATTAAAATGTTGTGGCTTTGGGCATTTTTACAATGTTGGGAATGTTTTGTTACTAAATTCCTTATTATAGACACCAGTGAAAGGTTAGGAATGTTACTTAGATGTCTGATGTATTCTTTAACTCAAATGGGAATCTCTGTAGCTAGGAATTAAAACTCTTTGATGAAGTGAGCTCTTGCTCACAAAGCTTATGCATCTCTGATTCAGGTAGTCTTTAAGGTGTATTTCTACCCTGCCTTCAGCCTGACTTCAGACTAACACCACAAACTGCATAAAGTGTGGAACTCATTGCCACAAGATGTTGTGGAAGCTGACAGTTCAGCCAGATTCAAAAAGGGACTGAACACATCCTTGGAGGAAAAGGGTAATCAGTAGCTATTGAGTGCAAGGAGTAAGGGGCACGGCCTCTGAATCAGGAATTCCTAGACCCTAAATGCTGGAGGCTGCAAGTGGGAGAGGAACAGTGGAAAAAACCCTGGTCGTCCCCTGTTCATTCTCCCTTTCAGCATCTACCCTCTGCCACTGCATGACACAGGATACTCGGCAAGATGGACCTGCGGTCTGACCCAGTAAATGGCCATTCTTATCTACTTCTCTGGTCACTCAGTTACTAACTGTATGAAAGATCTTAATTCAGGGGTGCTCAAACCCAGCCAAGAGCCACATCTATCCCCTGGCATCATGTCTTCCATCTTACAGGGCTCCCCACAGATCTGAAAATTTGATGGCTGGGAAGCAGTGGCACTGCTCCTCTACTCCAAATTTCCAGACCCTTGGGGGCCTGGAAGCTGGATAGAGTGGTCCTGCATGGTGGATCAGGAGCAGTATGGGAGTGTGGGGCCCATTCTGGCCCACGGACCAGCCCCGCGCTGTTCATCTGACCCACTGGACCAAAAGTTTGAGCACCACGGATCAAATCTGACTGCTGTGGCCGATTGAAGGCCGGAGGTTGTACCACACTGACTATTTTTTAAAGTTTGCTGCAATCATTTTTACCTGCAGTAAGGCTGCAACAGCTCTAGATCATCATGAGATCTTTGTTTGCATCTATTGCCCACCTGAAACGGTTGATATTATATACGCAGTTCAGCGGAATACTTCACACACAAAATGAAATACTGCTGGCATTTTAATTATGCCCCACACATTCTGGAAATGGAATTTTTTTGTCTAATGCCTCTTGGTCTGCTGGTCCACTGAGCTTCCCTTTTTAAATCTTTACTCGCCAACAGCTGAGAGATCCTTTTCCTCCCCAAATATGAGTGAGCAAGTAAAGTGCAAGACTACAACTTCTGACAACTTGCCTGCTGACTTTTCATTCATCATGGAAACTTAGCTACTTTAATATGCAGCTTTAAAAATGATAGGTGAAATTTTGAGGGTCAAATACTCCATTTTTAACTAAAATAACCAGCCTTTCATGGTAACTGTCGTTATTGGCTAGATTCGTAAATGAGCTCTTTGTCATGATTGGCTACACTCCTGAAGTCATAATCCCATAGTCTTGAGTGCTAAATCCCATACCTAACTCCGACTTTTGTGACTTGGGGACAATCACCGAACTTTATCAGAGTCTCCCCAGTTTGTTTAACATCTTCCTGTGTTTGAGGAGCAGTTCTTTAAAGTATCTCCATCTCGTTGAAAAGGTCAGGTGCTTTAAAAATCTAAATATTGACCCTAGTTTTAACCCTTTTGTAGTTGAATACAGCATAGCACTTCTTTGCTGTCTATAGGCACTTACTGCATTGAAGACCATTGATCAGATTCAGATAATTCTGTAAAAGGCTATTCTTGACACAGTGGACAAGCTTGCTTCTAGATGTACCAGTACTTAGAATAAGGTTAATTATTTAGCATCCATCCAACTATGCAAAATAAAGGGGATTTTATGGTTATTTTGTTTTTAAGGAAAGCTTGCTTTGGGGTTTTGTTTTCTTTTTTATATTGCCAAGGGGTAAAAATTTGTAATATTTAGTAAAATCTCAGGTTTTTGAGTTTCCTTCACACAACAAACAGTCTTTTGCTTGTAATCTTGTGTAATCAGTAGGGAAACTCCTACCTGTGGCATGTGCAGACATGTACCTTCTCAGCAGCAGTGATAGACAGAGCAGTCTCCTTCACTGTAGCGCACCTTTAAACACCACGTAAACCTGGAGAGTTCGTGGAATGAAGAGAAGATGTCAAATGTGAGTTTTACCAGATTTTGGGTGTATATGTTGATGTCAAGAATACTATTCCTAATTTGCCCATGAAACGAGAGAACTTTTTTTCCCTTCAATTGCATGGGAAGGATTATTCTCAGGCTGCCAGCATAACAGTTTCTTGGGCTCTTGCAAGGTTTGGTTAAAATTATTTTTTTTACGTGTACCACTAATTAACATCCAAGCTTACTAGAAGTGAAACCTCTAAGAATCTACTCCTGATCTTTATACTTTTTTTTTTTACCTTTTAACAAGTTGGTTTCTTTAGATAAGCTCGGCAGAAGGCAGGTTAGAGTTCCACATTATAGACTAACTAAATCAGAGATGTATAATCGGGGCTGGACCCGATTGTCTCGCGAGGTCCCTTCCAGCCCTAACGTCTATGAAATCTATAATAAGGTAGCCTTTTTTTACCTATTCCTCTTGAACTGGTGCAGTTTAGATAAGCTCGGCAGAAGGCAGGTTAGAGTTCCACATTATAGACTAACTAAATCAGAGATGTATAATCGGGGCTGGACCCGATTGTCTCGCGAGGTCCCTTCCAGCCCTAACGTCTATGAAATCTATAATAAGGTAGCCTTTTTTTACCTATTCCTCTTGAACTGGTGCAGTACTGCAGTGTTTTGTTGGAAACTCTGCAAGGTATTGTTTGCATTTGGGGAAAATAATTTAACCTTACAGTTTTGTATAACCTAATATAAGTATTGTCAATGGGAAGTTTTGTTTGCCACTAAATTGTACACCCGAATTTCCCAGCAACATCCCATTATTATTAATAGGATTATTATTAGGATTGTTTCTGTGGCATGATTCTTCTTGCATATTAATGACATTTTAATTTGTGGAAGCCTATACATCTAATCCAGGTATATCTGGAAAGGGATGGAAGACCCACATCGGGAAACATTAAACTAACGAGCCAAATTTAGTAACACTGGCTAGCAAACTTTACTTACATTACAGATAGAAACAAAACTTTCCAAGATATCTTTA